ATACCAAAAATCTGCAGGAAGTCACTATTCCACACGAACGGAGTCGCAGGCAAAAAAAAATGAATGCACGTTTGGTGCTATAGCTGGGCAACTGGCCGCTATGCGATATGTAATGACAATTCGCTAACAACTCTTTACGTGATACACAAATTATTTTTTAAGTTGTGGTTGCAAATATTAGTGTAAATCCAGGAGGAAATACTCATGTACAGTTTGCAGTCAGAAAAAAAGATAGAAGATTGCCTATATTAAATGCCATTTTGATAATTCTTAAAACCTTAATTGATACAAGAAAACTTTTTAGGATTCACTCTACGAGGGGAGAAAAATCCAGTACAAAAAACTAATTAACTGCTTATTCTTTCAGTATGAACGCGTGAATATGATGCCATCATTTACCAATCACTGGAATGCATTTCACCAATCTCATTATCTGAGAATTCGTTACGGGAAATAAAATTGTTTTATAATAATGTTTTATTTCAGTGTAATTACTACGAAATTCAATTGAATGTATGTTCGATGCGGATTCGCTTCATGGAAAATGTGCAATTAGTTTATTTTTGTTTTTTCTTTTATTTATTTTACAATCGTCGGTATAAATAGTGCTAATGGTTTTTTCTGAGTAAAATTATCAATGTTAGCCCAGGAAGTTCAAGTCGTGCTTTAGGCAGGCAGCTAGGCAGTCGGTATTAATCAAACAAATCTACAAAGACTCTTTTTTGCAATTTCGAAAATTCATTCGGACTTACAGAAAGTATTTCTTTACAAATTATTCTAGTTTTTCAAGCTTTAATAATAATTATATTTATTGCACTACATTGTGTAGTTTACTTAAGCCTACAAATTTAATACTTCTCATCAGTAAATACAAAAATAGGGAGCAAAATATTTAAATACAAATGAGCAACTCAAGTTAAATTACAGTCATTAGAATTACCACGTCTAGACCTCAAATTCTTGATCCGTCAATCACGTTGGCCTTGGAAATACATAAAGAGAAAATTAATTATATTAATATAATAAATTAATTCACATTTTATTATTCTAGTTGGTCGTTGAATTTGCTTGAATAACCCGATTTATAACTCGACTTGTTCGAAAGCTATTAAGCTTAGTGCATGCTGAATATATTAAAAGCATCGCAGATGGTTGAGTTAGGCTTTCAATAAATCGGGTGTACCGCTAATGGCACTATTTATAATGCACAATGGAGTGCTGCCTAAAGAATAATAATATCATTGAGAAAATTTTTCTTTTAGAAGGCTCTTGAAATTATGTAAAAAGTGTTTTGGTGTCCCCGTCATGATACAAAAATATGGTTTGACAAGGCAAAATATTTGTATATTCGTTTTATACATATATGTGTATTAAGGGTTATTTAAATATTTTCATATTTTGGTCATTATCTTGCCTGGCAATCAACAATGGAACACGTCTTCTCTTAAAAGTCAAACCATTCGGGCTTCAAAGACACCCAGATTGATAGCACTTAGACAACATTCAAAAGACTGTCTTTTATGTAATTAGACGGCAAACGAGTTTACGTTAATTACCTAATGGTATGCAATTTGTGCCTCTCTTGGACACCCACAACAACAGAGGAGTTGTGAGTGCGTTGCCGATCTTTTGGGGATTAGAGGAGGGGCAGAAGGATTGGGTTTCGGTAACCTCACTTAGAATGTGGTTGTTTCATACCGGGTTTCTTTTAGTCTGTAGTGTCCGGTAGACCATTTGTGCCGAAGCATGGCTCTCCCACACTTAAAACCTTGTTTCAGAAAAAGTAAAATTGTGCCCTGATACAGAGACAAAGCGTGACGCCGCCGTGTTACAGATTTATAGCTTAACATTTCAGATCCTAGTATATATATATAGTTCTAAGACTAAATACGATATACACAATACTAATAGTATTGACCCGAGAAATGAACCACACAATATCTTGTATCACAGTGATCACGTCATCATGTCATGAATATTCTACACTACGACTCTAGCCGTCTGATATAAGGATTCAATAGGATCGCAGTCACGAAACCTTGTATTACACCGAACTGTAATAAAATGACCTATTAATGTAATGTTTGAGGATCAAATTTAAGTGTGAGCCATGTTTCAGCACGAATGCGTTGGCTTGACCAGAGTGATACCACGGCCTTACAGAAAACTAGCGTGAAATAACACAGCGTTGCGTTTCGCCGGATGAGTACCGAAGGCCCGATCCTTTCCCTCCCCCAATCCCTAAATCTCCGAAAACCTTATCCCCACAAGGTCGGCAATGCACTCGTAACCCCTCTGGGAAAAAAAGTTGCTAAAAAACCAATAAATTAGTTGACTGTTTGCTATGTGTAGCGAAGGTTGGAATGCCAAATTGTTGTTCTGAGTCCGTCTGTGAAGTGTAAATAGGTATATGAAATTGTAAGTAATTTATAAACGCATTCACAGAACGGAAAAACGTCTGAAATTAGGCCAACTATTTTTTTAAGAAATTTAAAAGTAATACGATTTAATTAATCTCCCTCTTCGAGCTACGGTGTGACTATCACCCACACTAAGCCGTACTTGGTGACTATGATTTATTGCCAAACTCATATATAGACTCGCATAGTTCTAGTTTCAAACTTTGGTACTATATTAGTGTCTTTGATGTATTCACAATGAATATTTCACAATGGACTATTAAGGCCTGTAGGTTACTACGTAATATATAATAATATTTAATTTTGTGTGCGACATTTAAAAATTTGCCGATTACGCAATTTGAAGTTTTAGCTAAATAGAATAAGTATTAGTTTTCATGTAGTAGACAATGTAGAATAAGTGTTCGTTTGAGTGTTAATCCACGGCGTGTGAGTGAGATTAACTGAAACCCCATCCTCCTGTTCCCCTATCTCCAATTAGAATTCCCTATCCTTAAATCTCTAAGAATCCACAAAAAGTTAGACTTAGAGTCTATATCTATAGCTAAAACCGCGTTCCTTCTCATGCTGAGAGCCAGTTCGCGTTGGATTATTAAGCTCGAACTTAGCTGTCCCTATCATTGTTACACGTTATCCCAATCGGCTATAAACTAAAAACATTCAAGTCTTAAAACTATAATAAACTAGCTTTTGCACGCGACTTCGTTCGCGTGGAAAAGTGACGTTCTGCAGATTTTTTGCATAAAATCCTATGTCCTTTCTCGAGTTCCAAACTATGTCTGTACCAAATTTGACAGAAATCGTTACAGTAGTTTAGGCGTAAAGAAAAGACAGACCGATGAGATAGACAAAGTTACTTTCAGATTAGTTTGGATTTAATTTTTTCCTAAAATTCTTAACGAAACTCCATTAACGACCTGTATACATATTTTGCAACCCTCGTTATGCTACAGATTTGTAAAGGACACATATAAAATATAAAAGGCGTAAGATCCCTAAAGAGGACGTGACCTTGGCCCCTTAAGATAAGTTGAAATTATTGCGAAAACCGGCTTCGTCTTCATCAGGGAATTAAAGGGAAATCTAAGGTCTTTGCATAAATAAGATTCAATTGAGAGGAAATGATAACTTGTGTAGGGGTTAGTGAACGAGGGGCTGTGGTATTTGTTATTGGAATCTGAATGATGTTTGTGGTTAATTCTGAATGAGATCTGTTTAGAGATTTGTCAGTTGTGTCGTTGTAATAACATCTGTATTTGTTTAAATTAATTTATGATAGTTTAGATTTTATGATAGTTGATTTTATGATAGTTTATGATAGAATTTATGATAGTTTCTCTCCAGACAAATTAGAACTATCTTTTTTGTACTTTTTAAAATGGTATTTTAAAATAAATCCGGTTGATTTATGAATAATCAACTGATAATTTAAAGAGTATGTGTGACAAAGATTATATTTATAAAAAACTAAGCAATTATTTCGAAAAGTAAACACTCATTTAATCGAAAAGATATTATTATTATTCAGGATATTACAGACACTTTTTATAAAAAAAAAACAAATATAAATCCCTTTTCTAACCCAAAACAGAGGTTTCCTTTTTATTAAGGTATACTTTTTAGACCAGTACCCAAGGACCGAGGGTCTAAAAGACCTTTGTTATCAAAAATCACTTTCAAGGACATTAAAACAGTATCAACGAATAAAACCCTGTTGAGGTTTTTATAGAAGTATAAAAATGTATATCGACGCCTGTTTTCAGTGCTTTGAAGATTGGGAAAAGATATGGTTACTATTCGTATTTGGAAAACTGTTTATTATTTCCCTATAGCCTAAAAATTGACCAGTAAAGAAAAAGGCTTAGTACATATCGGGCGGTAACGATAGAGATTTTTCCTTTTTTTACCCGACTACAGCAAAGCAAAAGGAGGGTTATGATTTTGGCAGGCTACGTATGTATGTATGTATGTTCATCTGTGCCCTCGTAACTTCTAAACTACTTATCAGAAATCGACATATGACATTGTTAGAAACGTCTTAATTGTCCGCTGGTTATAGGCTATACATATGAGGTATCACAAAATCTAATGTGACGTCTTTTAGCGAACAAAACAATCAGAGTAAAAAAATAAAGTTAAGATAATTATACCGTGTTTGGTACCATTTTAAAGCAATTTACTAGTACATTTTGAATATATATATTACTAGCATTTGCTTGTGACTTTGCCTGTATTCATGGGCTGATTGCATATAATTCACATCTTTTCGTGCATAGCTTCTACTACAAATATTAGTTCATCAATTTTGTCTTAATGCGAAGGTACATTCTAGAATAGCTTCACTGATGACCAAGTATTTTATTGTTTTTGACGTTTCAAAAACCTAAAGTAGGTAGGTACACCTACTTTAGGTTTAGTTTCAATTAGGAAGGATTTCTGTACTTTACACAGACGGAATCGTGGCACAGCCAGCCTATCTTTGCCTCAAGTATTATAATAATTATTAAAAAAGTCTTTCGCTTATTTGTTTCAAATGATTGCAGATTTTTCCTTTCTTTTCTGTGGTTAGTTAGAGACACCATGGTGCGGAGCAAGAGGAACTGGAAAGCCACCTCAAAGATGGAGCCCAAATGGGCTGATGGTCAGCTGGGTTCGCGGGTACAAGTGTGTTGTAGAACTCCCTCCTCCTCTATACCCCGGCCTCGTCCCACATTGGCTGAGAAAAGTCCTTTAATGATCTTCCCACCTCAACAAAAAGCCCAGTTAGCCAAAAAAAAAAACACTTTTGCATCGATAGCATCAGTTTCTGACCCTGTACACAGTAAATTCCAGGTAAGTATTGACATAGTATTTGTGATTCTTTTCAACCGAGTTAACGAAGAAATTGAACCCACCAATTTCATAAGAATACTGGCTTGATTACAAAAAGGCTCCAAATTTATTGAAGTATAAATAACGAAGAAATTGATTACTAATGGGGCTTGGCCTACTTTGACGAGGACGATTGGCATTATTATGAAATCAGATTACAGTAGCCATTACTTCGGAAGCTTTTACACATATTTGTATTAGGCCAATCCTGGAAATATATATGTTAGACTAGTTTTTATTTATAAAGTTGAAGAGTTTGTTTGTTTGAACGCGCTAATCTCTGGAATTACTGGTTCGAATTACGAATTGAATAATTGAATTTTTTTTTTTTTGTTAGTCTATTTATCGAGGAAGGCTATGGGTTATAAAACATCACGCTACAACTGTAGGATCAGAGCAGTGGGTGAAAAAGCGCGAAAGAAGCTAGGGTCCAAATAAAATAGTCCATCAGTCTTTTCATCGGTGAAGCTAGGTGTTCGTTCTTAACCTACACTTGACGACACTAATCGCATTTCATCTGCATTATGAATGTTTGAATCAATAGGAGGAACGTTGTTGCTCTTATATGTACTTTTGTTTTCAAGAGTGAAGAGATTTTTTTATATTAGTTTTTCGACGTAAACCTAGACATTGAGTGTGTTTGAAAGTTGATAAACTATGCAGATGAGATGCCCGTTATTAATTGTGAATTGAGAAAAATTGTGTAAGATGCGATAATAATTTTGCTAAGATTAAGGTTAGCTTTTGCAACACTTCTAGACTAGATGAGTAAATAAAACCCTTGCCACGTTAGGAAGTACAACAGAAGACCAAAAATATAAATATGAAACGTACGTAATGTATGATTATTTAAAATATATTAAATTGGTCATCGTTTTATCTTCAGCTCTTGAAATACTACCTAATAGTAAAGTTGATAGAATGCCTTATTAATAGTAACCCCATTACCTGATAATATTCATAGCAACGCACCGTTTTGTCCCAGTACGGAGAAAACGCACGGCCTAATCTAAGCCGTAGAGATTTGATTACACGTACGCAAACATCTAAACAAGGTGCTCGTTACAGTGACGTCATACTGCGCAGTCGTATTTTTTCATATTTTCCCCAGAGTGCCATAATTCATGGAAAAAATGGATCAGTCGTACGACATACCCAGGATATAGCATAGGCTGTGTTTCTATTAGCGGCCAAGATAACAATATGCTGGAAGAGGCTATATAAAATTTACGTCTTTGGTAGCTGTAAAGTGGGTCCCTACATAAACGGAGGAATAAAGGCTTTGCCCCCGATGGGTAGTCAAGATTTCTTCTTCATGATATCTTTGTGATAAGTAGTACTACGAAACACAGTTAGTGGTTTCCATTAAAGCAACACTCGTCGTATCTTGTTTTAATACGAATACGAATTTACATGAATTTACAGTTGTTAATAAAATTATTGAATCACAAGATTGTACTCAAGAATGTACGTCTTGTTTTAAGTAATTAAAAATTATCAACTTTTAAATTTGTTGGTAGAATTACTCGATTGATTACGAAACAGAAGCGTAACTTGTACTATTGTGTAAGTTTAATATCGAAAGTTAGTATTTTAACGTAACCTAGGAATATTAATTTCTTTTTATTAAATACATAATTAACCATTCAATGAAATAATATAATAATTTGCAAAGTATCCCAAATAAAACAACTTTGTGGCTACCGGAGGCTCAAAACCCTTTCTTCCCTTAGTCTCAATCTCGAATCCCTATCCCAAAACAGGAACCAATTGCCTTGAACCAAACCATTGGGCGAAACCAATTGCTTACTACGAGGTAATCTATAAGCTCGTTTGTTAACATATTGCTTGTTAAACATCACACAACAAACGTAGAGAGACATTTCCATAGCTTATTTCATTTTAGGCTTATATTTTTAATTGTCATCCTTAAAAGTTCTCATAAAAAATTACTTACTCTAATATTTCTCAAGCCACTTCCAGTATATATAGCCCACGTCACTCTGCGTCCATTCAGGTACAGTGCGTGATTTATTCCGGTGGAGTTACCACAATATGTCACTCGGGGTACAAACGACATACCATTCGGTGCGTACTCCGATTGCTCGTTACTGGTTTACGGGTTTTACGATTTAACTTGAACCGATTGTGAGCTAAATCTGGAGCTGTAACTGTGAGTAATGAATTGGGAACGGGTCTCAATGATTTTTGTATCGCTCGGTATGTTAGACCCAACCCAGGCGTTCGAAGGTTTTATTGGTATTTTTTACTTTTTCTCGATAGTAATTAATCTCGTAAATGCCAAGTTGTTGAAGATTTTTGCCATTACAGTTAACTCACATTTAAAAAGATTGTAAAGGCTATAATACTAACGTACACTAAACGTACTTTGGCCATGGTTTCGATTTTGAGTCCTGCATGAGATCAGTAGTAGTTTTTTTTACCGAGTTTGAAAAATGTGATCAGTTATTTATATATACCGGATGTATGATTGTGTCCGACCTTCCGAAACCACTGAAACTTCTGTAAATCAGGATGTACAGAAGATACAACTATAAGAACACCAAAACACTGAAGTTACAGTCCCGGGGACATGGATGACTGTCTTATGTCCCGCAACGATATTAATCAGAAGACATAATTTAAAGAAAAAACTAAATAGTTTCCAGATCCGTCAGTAAATTTATCGCAGAACACAGAACAACTTAAGCCTTAAAGAAACAAAAGAGACTATACAACTGGGAGAAGCTCGGTCACCCAGTGAGATGACTGGGCCTAACGATATACCGAAAACCAATTTCCTGATATGATTTAATATTTTTTCTTTGTCTACAATCTACCGAAGCTATATTCGCCAGTATCTACCTCACCGGGCTTGTCGAATCCAATCAACAAAGTTAGTTCAATCAACAAGATTGGCTGTCCAGACATGTCAGGTATTGTCACAGGGGATATCGTACCTTACTTGCATCTTACAATGTTGCCTGCCAACAAGATTGCAGCTGTTTCAAAACAGCGTTTGAATTTAAATCTAAATATTATTTGATGACAAAATTTCGTAGATTTGGGGCAAGCTTATGATTTTATTGCTTAGAAAGATCTCACCACATCCCCATTCCCAAACCCGAAATCTATAATCTTCAAAAATTGATGACGTACTTGCAAATCTTTATGTTGCAGATGTCCAAAGGCGGTGCCCTTTGCTTATTATGAGGTAACTCGTGTGTATGTAGTCAAAGAGCGGAGTGTTACCGCGGTCTTACAGATTCGGCATGAAATAACAACAGCATTGTGTTTCGCCGTGTGAATGAGATTACTCGAGGCCTAATCTTTCTCCTCCCCAATCTCCCCATGCTAAATATCCGAAACCCTAAACCCTAAAAGTCCGGCAATGCACTTAACTCCTCTGATGTTGCGGGTGTCCATAGGCGGCGCCAATTGATTACCATCTGGTAATACGTCTGCACTTTTACCCATTACATAAAAAATCTTGCTAATATTATAAATCCCAAAGTTTGTAAGTATGGATTTCACGTAAAAATTACCACATATTTACATAGAAATAAATATGAGGAATAAATGTTGTATGAATAACGTACGAGCTACTTTTTACCCTAATAGGTACTTCGGGCCAAGCCGCTGCCACTGACAGAAGCTAGTTATTAATAATTATCTATTAATTAAAATGTATTATACATCAAGACCCTTCTATTTTCCATTCATACATTCTAATTCCACAACTAAGGTCAATAAACTCACTAATGATATCAATCTGTCTTTCGCTGCTGTGAATTTGATTACAAGCGCGGCGCGTTAGTGATCAAAGCATATTCGAGGGTCGAGACACATTAGCAAAACCGAATAGAGTATTTGACACCAACGTTGAAGCATTCGAGTTATACTTGGAGTTATGTTCATGAGTAGACTTAGAGCTTAGTTTATTGAGTTTTACTCATGTATTCTAGGAAGACTTAATTAATGGTAAGGAAATTTTGTTTGTGTTGCAAAATGTTTGTTTAGTTAGTAACTAATAAACAGTTCCTTCCCCTACATAGGATGAAGATTAATATGTGTTTTGCATTTATCATTCGGCTAGTTTGACTGTACAGTTGATACGGTGTCTAGAAAACCGATTGCCAAGCAACTTGTCGCGGGCTCGATTACAGCACGGAACAACTCTTTATATGAACCCGATTTTTTTTTAATTAGAATTGTAATTTTTTAATGAAAAATCCTAAGGTACTAAACATCGTCACACAAAAAATAAATTACAGCAGTGAAACGTCGCTTATAGGAAGACGTGCTATGTGTTGTATGTAAAAAACCAATCTGTAACATTTTCTTATGATGTAACCTTTAATATTTCAAAAATGCAATATTCTTCAAAGGGTGAAAATCATACAATAGCCTTTCCAACCCTAATTGGGACAAGTAAGAGAGTGAAACTCTTCCTACAGCTTAATACTCTGCCCATGTCTCTGGTATTTAAACTTATAAACGCATGGTACTTGACTCTCTCTCTCTTTCTTGCCTCCTGACTGAAAACCATTCAGACAATTCTTCTCATTCTCGAAGTCTGGTAAATAATTGCATTTGTACTAGCAGCTTCGACAAAATCCCACTAAATGGTTATAATACACCAACGCCACCATACAAGCAACCCATCAAATTAACCCCCACAACAATGTATAAAATGGCAATAAGTTAAAATGTCTTGGAGCTGATATTTTATTATACTTTCAACTTAATCCATGGTTATATATGTCGTAAAAATGCTATAAAATAGCTACCAATGTAAACGCGGAGTATATCCTAACACAATTACGATTACCTTGAGAAAATGAGCGAATGGTTTTACGGCGTCTTAAGGGCTTATAGTATATGTTGTGGATGCTTTTATGCTATTTTCGTCTTCAATAAGATCATGTTTCGAGTCTCGTTACGTGTTCAAAGACATGCAGTGGGTGTGTGTTGCTTTGTTTTTATAGGCGCTGATGATGCGAAAGACTTTTTTATGAGATCAAACGAGTAGACGGTACGAACGGTTACTTGATATTAAGCAATCAGCAGCAACCATGGACGCCAGCAACGCAAGAGGTGTTATGAATGCCTAACAGGCCTTTTATGAACTATGGTTCTGGAGATTTGCTGATTGGGGGGAATAAGGAGAGGGGACGCAAGGTTATGCCTCCGGTAATCTCATGGTGGAACACAAAGCTGTACATGTTCCATACCGGGTTTCTATAAAGCCATCAAGGTATCACACAGTTGACTCATTCGAGCCGATGGTCAGCGGTAAACTAAGTTGAGTGACGTATAAGTATTTTAAATGATATCAGGTCTATAATCTCAGTTTAGGATAGACTTATTTAAGAAACTTATCTTGACAAAACCAATTTTTAATATTCTTCAATAGACTTTCTCGTTCTTTGATTGTCGTCAGTTTAAAGCGATGTCTTAATTTAGGTTGTGTCATCAATATTTGCAAAACTGCAAAAAAACTCAGGAAGCAGGCATAAATCCAATATCAATAATATTGGACCACAAAAACTGGAAATTCCCAAAGATGGTCCAAATTGAAACGTAAACTAGAGCAACCTATAAAAATTGGACACTAGAATATGCAATGAAAACTCGAAGAGTTTAGATCTGTCTGAGACTCGGAAAATATTCTCAGGAGCAAAACCAAAGTGTGAATATATTCTTATAAATTGTGAAGGAGTAAAAGTTTTTCTAACAAAATCTAATGGAAGTTTTTCCAGGGAAACTCGTAACCAAAGGGATGGATATCGTAAAAAATATAATTAGATACGAAGGCGTAAGGTCTATAAAACAGGTAATCTCTTTAAAGTAGCAATTTATCGTAAACGCTGGCAAATTATCGGCGCGTGCACGCGTGAATGCATTAGAAGAAGCTGAAGGAATAAAAATCTTATTTGTATTTTTTATGACATTATAATGTCTATGTGTTTCACTTCTTCTATCTTAGCATGCCAACATACACATACACGCACTCATATACACAGACACTGACACACATTTATTATAATACATGCTCACACAGGTTTATATTTTTTTATTAAATATTTTCTCGATTTATAATAATAATATGGTAGTATACGTGTGCATTTAAAATATTTTTTTATAGTTAGTATCTAGTAGAACATTGGACACTTGACAAACCATATTTTAAACTCCTATCACAGCTTTATACTAAGATTGTCCTGTAACAGATTCGATCTTAAGGTAAAACTGCCAATGTACACGAAATATTTGTTAGATATTTTCCATGTAACTTTTTTTATGGGATAGGTCGGCAAACAAGCAGGCGGATTACCAGATGGTAAACAATCGGCGCCGCCCATGGACAACGCCTGAGGAGTTATGAGTAAGCTTTTGGGCCGGCCTTTTGGGATGTGGGAAGGGGGAAGGAATGGGCCTCCATTAACCTCACTCAAACGGCGAAACACAACGCTGTGGTTATTTCACGCCGGTTTTCTGTGAGGCCGAGGTATCAATTTGGTCGAGACGACCCATTCGTGCCGAAGTTTGGCTATCCCACATTTAACTATGTGGTGTACAATAGAATATATAATAAATATAAAATATGTGACAAAGACAGGAGAATGCAGGAGTTTTGTTATTACTATCAAAATAAAAATTATAGAATCGACTGAATAATTGTGGTTATAACAACTATTTGACGCAAAAAATAACATAAACACGTGTTTTTTCAGATATCCGTTTAATCGCTTAAACACGACAAAATTTTCTATCCAAAATGGTCCTTTCTGAAACTAAGAACTCCATTTAATAATTTAATTAATTTATAATCATTGATGACAGCCCTTGTTAAAAACACCACAACGTAATAAATTCAAAACCCACTGACAATAGCCTCTTGATCTAAAACACCATCATATTTTAAATTCATATTTTAATTAAGTTGCTTGGCGGCGCTTACTATGGGGACATAAATATCAATTTGTTCCTAATTCGTAATTAGATATTATAATATCAGATTAGCATAAATTAATTCGAAGACGTGGATAAGCTGTAGTAAATCCAATTTGTATAATACAATAACATAATGTATCGCAATATTCACCGGCTATGGAGTATGAATATGATTAGTTTTAGATTTTGGTAAAATATGATCACTGAAACAATTTTTATTATAACTTTCATGAGATATACTAAATTAATTATTATGTTTTTGGCTTACTCAAGTAATTGTTTGACGAGATACTCGACTAATTTCAAGCCATGCTAAATGCCTATTTTTAGGAGCAGCGTGATAGACGCCGTGTCGCTTGTCGAGGAATGCTGCTCATGAATATGGACCTCTAGCATGGCTTGAAACTAGTCGAGTATCTCGTCAACCAATTACGTGAGTAAACCGTAGAATTGAAAAAAAAATTATTCATCTATAAATTTTACACTTCATTGTTTATATTGTACTACTATATACATTTACAGGACAATTTTTTATTTAGACTTTTGCACAAACATCTGTGTACAAGGTGGACTAAATGCCACGGGCAGTCTCTGCCAGTCGAACCTTTGGGCGATGCAGAGATAACAGTAGGTGCAAGAAGTAAGCAAAATCGAGATATTACTGATAAATATATATTTTATGCACTTAAATATAAATACTATTTGTCTTGTCTTTTGTTGTGTGTGCGTAAAAAATAATATTAAAGAGAGAGAGAGAGAGACTGAGAGAGAGAGAGAGAGAGAGAGAGAGAGAGAGAGAGAGAGAGAGAGAGAGAGAGAGAGAGAGAGAGAGAGAGAGAGAGAGAGAGAGAGATAGAGAGAGGAGACAGTACTGAGTCAAGGTCTGAGAATGCTTTAGCTTGTCTTTTCTATACTCCTGTGTCTTTGATTAATCTTACGCCAGTCTGCATTGGCTTTCAGTAATGGAATCCTCCTAACAGTACCCTAGAAAGGATATAATCAGGAACCGATTATTTCATCAGAATAAATTGACTTGTTTCATAAATCTCAGAGTCTTACTTTTAAAGACATGGCGCCTACTATAATATTATCTCTCGTATTGCAGGTGCGTTAAATAATTTAACACAATACATAACACCTAGAATAACAATTTGTTGATCATAAAAAGACTTGCTTCGTGCGGAAATCGAACCCGAGATACCAGCCACGATGTTAAATTGTTCAGATAATGTTATCCTTTTCATCATCATAAGCTTTGCTGCACATATGCCTTCTCCAATGACCTCCAAATTGGCTAGTTGGTATCAACGTGCATGTAGTGGCTTCCAGCAACCCATGTCAGACCGTTTTTGCCCACCGTGTGGGAGGGGGTAAATTATAATATACTTCATTTTTCGTCTTTGAAGTCACATCTATTACATTTTCAGAAAATGTAACAAATAAAGATAAGTCATTGAAAAAACCATTGTAGGTACTATACAAAATATATTTTTTAAAAAAAAACGTTGCCCCGCATTAGGATTTTCTCCTGTGTCGTGGGTGCGTTTACAAACACACAATTTTATATGCACATCACACCCAGACCTAGAACAACAATCTGTGGATCAAACAACGAGTTGTTCCGTGCGGGATTCGAAACCGCGACACGTTGCGCGGCAGCCAGTTGCCCAGCCTCCGCGCCAAACGTGCAGTCACATTGACAACATGCAGTCATATTGACAACATTGAGTAAATATTGAACTAAGTAATAAATAATTTATGTATGTACTTGCTCCTAAACACAAAAACGAATTGACAACTGATATTACTGGCCTAAGAAATGACGTTCGGTAGATTAATTGAAACAACGTGCCTATTCGTCCCATAATTGTTCAAAACATTATTCACTTTATTTCCAAACGAGTAAAGTTCAAAGTCTATAAATACAGTAGCTTGGTGTCTCTATATAATAACAACGCTTATGAAGCATCCACGTAAACAATTTAACCTGTCATCGAAACCACAGAAATTAATTGCAACAAGTCCTTCTCACCTTTTGTCTACCCGTCAGCATTTCAGTACCAAGTAATCAATTAGTACAGCCTAATATTCTCAACAACAGCCAAGCAATTCTAACCTCTAATACCAAAGCAATAAAGTGTAAATAGTAATTTATTAATACTATATAAATTGGGTGACAGCAACAAACCGGGCAACTCCCAAATTGTTGTGGAAAAGTTGAATTTGTACGGTGAGTTTAATATAAAATTATTTGGGACATACCGATGCAAAAGATAAACATTTTAAACTTTGAAAGCCAATATTCTGTTTATAAAGGATGTTAATTTATTCTGTGTTATGTTTATCGAATTGTATGGGTCTTCGTGCGTCAATTTTGTAGCCTTCAGCATAGAAATAAAATAAGTCATTCTAGATACATTTCTTAATATTATCACATGTAATTTATGTGATAACAGATTACCTAATGGTAAGCAAACCACCAATAGATGCAACACCATAGGAGTTGCAGTTGACAGTCTTTCTCAGGTGATAAGGGGTTTTGGGGATTTTAAGATTTGTGAGTATTGATGGGGGAAAGGATTGGTATTCCGGTAACCTCACTCACGTGGCGAAACACTACGCTATAGTTGTTTTACGCCAGTTTTTTGTAATTCCTTGATATCAATCCGGTGGAGCCAACCCATTTACGCCGAAGGATGGCTCACTAAATATTAAATTTCATTTTAACAAATATCCGTTCAATGTTGCCGTGACGATAGTCAATAATCTAGTCCTGGTTCCTCAGACCCGAAAATCCCAGCTTGGAGCAACGTTTTTATGGGTATAATTGTAAGCCTAAAATAGAGGAATAGAAAAGTTTACAAAAAAATCGTGTTGTTTGTCATGTTCTTCGTTCAGCATTATAACCTTATCAACTATTGGTAATCCTACAACTTTACTTGTTATAATAATATTATCTACAAGTAAAGAGATCTAGACCTTCATACGAAAGCAGATATTTCCTTCCTCGTGTGCAAATTCAAAATGGTGGTAAATTGCAATGAATAGCCATCTCTGTATAACGGAGTGCGGGAGAAAACGTTTAAAGTCAAAAATGTGATTCATTCACATATTACCTACATTTTAAGAGAATTATATTTCACATTCATGAGCTGTTTTAGTATGATAGTTCATGTATTAAATTGAAGAGAGAACTATTACAGTGGATTGTGGGTGGAATAATGTGACGTTAGGACTTTCATTGTTTTTCATTGGTCTAAAAATATGTATTTTGAGGAACAGACTGAGAATCGTCGGTTGCTTATCAACATTAAACTGATTAAGATAATTTACGCCAAAATATCCACACCTTGTTCTTCTATTTATTTTTGATAGCAATAAGACAAAACTCTCAGATGTAAGGTGTATTTATTTTTGAGTCGGGGAAATCATCAAATGACCCTAGGTTGGGCGAGAGGGAGTGTCAAACTCTTGTACTGAGTGAAAACTACCCGTTCCTTCTCTTGCTTAAGGCAGGAGTCAGTCATGATAGATGGGGATCATACACGGCAGAATTAATTAGATCAGTTCATTTATTTTTATACATTAAAAAAGTTACGAAACAGCTTTTATTTATAACAATAAATCTAGTAACACCATTGAAATATAAAATATACAGCAACACCAAATCCCTAGTTCCACGTTACCAAAAACAAAAAACATGAGATTTTTTTGTCCACACGCTCGAATTACTTCATTGTTGTCGCGTGTGATGGCAAACAATTCGTCACGTTTTTCGAATTTAAAACCCGATACGTTAATAAATTGCTTTTCAACTGCTCGTCAAGTTGGCACATCGATTGAAATTGAGGCTTTGCACGTTTGTGTCTGTGAGATGTTCATTTCTCTTTGTTACCCTACCCACCTTTTGGGCTGTTGCTCCATTTGGCTGCAATTAAATATTGTTTTCAGATTATTTTATTTCCCATACACAGGCTCTACTCTCGGCTTGGATGATGAAGCGATTGTTTGGCCTACGATGGCGACCGTTTGGGAAACAGACTTCCGAAAAGAAATCATAGGATATTCACAATAAAAATATCGTATTTTGCCGATTGTCTGGTGGTACGATGCTGCAAACGAAATGTTTTAATAATATTTGCGGAATAAAACATTTTGAGTACAGTGACTTATCCGTATTATGTAAATGTTTTCAACATTCTATTTTATTTCAAACATCAAAACAAACTCTGCAACTCATAAGCCAAAAATAATAAAGAAACCTAGACAAGGAACTTTCCATCTTTTTCAAAAACACCATTGTAAAATTATTTATCTCTAATCCCAGATTAATTCAAAATCAAGTCTCATATAAGAAGCAGTGTGTATCACTGGTCATGGCAAAGAAACAATTACATTTAATAAACTCAGAGAAAGTTTCTCTCCGTCAAATAACACCATTTGTTATTTGCCACCATTGTACAGATGATCATTTATAATATTGCTTCGGCGACGTCTCTATCCTTATTTATTATTATTATTTTGTAAAAGTAATCATTGCTGTTTAATGGATTATTAATGTACCCAATATTTGTAATCAAATCTAAGTTGTATTCGCATGATTGTATATACATATATAATATAACAGCAGTATATTCTGGACTCCCTACAATATCATTGGCAGTTTGTACCTATTAATTATTATTGGTTTTGTTATGTGACTCACGACTTCGTGATAACGACTCTGTAAGTGTATTCAAATCTTATTCTTTATTTAGCCAATGTTTCTGTTGTTTTCTTTATTTTGCTAGTAAGGAGGTGTAAGCAAAATTACCTTGATAATTCGGTTTTTTAATGTTCTGGTTTTATAAGTAATTTCTTACTGATGCAAATAAATATCCACTATTTTCTTCAACATTTTGCTATGTATAAATAATCCTTATTCAATTCCTTGTTTATAATTTATCAACTTTACAGCTTTCATTGAACATATTTCCAGTATTATCCTTTGCCCTCATTTCCTTTACTACCGGATTATCGAGATTTCAATCAGTACCTCTGAAACCTTCTTTGGCTAGTGCTAAGATCGTCTTTCTGCATTTCGATAAAGCTTAATTCTAATTATCATAAACTAGTTGTTATTCAGCAGCTTCAACCGCAATGGCGTTATTATTGATCATATTTCAACGTTCTCTAAAATTCCATACAAAAAGTTTTTATATGCGATAAGACGGATTCCCTAATAAGTTATCGGCGCCGCTATGAACACCCACAACACCAGAGGAATCACTTGGCATTGCCTGTCTTTTGGGATTAGGATCTTGGGAGATCTTGGATTGAGCAGGGATTAGGCGAGAAGAAGAATGGGGCGCCCGGTAACCTCACTCACACGGCCACAATACTAATGGTGGGTATCACGCCGGTTTTCTATTACTTTATTTGTGACATTCTCTTACAACATTTAACAAATTTCTTAGAAGACATTATCAACTTTACCCCACTCTATCCTAACAACATCATCTCATTACACGTCTATACCAATACGGACGGTAATCTTTCACAACTAACATACCTACATACGTAACCACGCCAAACACTCGAGCCAGTTCCCAGAAAACGAGTCCATAATAATTCAGTTCTAACTCGTACAAATTACTTCACCTGCTCAAGTTGTCGGACTAAGTCCAAGTTTTGCAATTACGCAGTCTAAATGGAACAGCATTAATGGACTTGACTGCGGGAGCAGTGGGTAGGGTTAGTTAAAACAGCTAAACAATCGGTGCTAAGTTAAATTGTGGTGAATGGAGTACATGGCCGTGCATGCTGGATGCCAAGTTGAAAATTGTTTGACAAGGTTCTGTAGAAAAGGACACGTTTTTAATGGATAGAAAGTTTG